CTCTCTCTCTCTCTCTCTCTCTCTCTCTCTCTCTCTCTCTCTCTCTCTCTCACTTCCCTTCTCGCTCATCTCTCTTTGACCATATGTTTTCACCTATAATATTTATTAATTCAATCGATGGGCATCAACTTAAGAGCTGTTAGCAATCGCATTGAACGCTGACAACAGCTGTAACCAGGGATCGAAGGCGGGACGAGGCAGGAGCCGGAGAAGGGGAAAGCGGGCTACTTTAGCTGATGGATGGACGCTAGTGTTTGCTCACAGCGGGATTAGCTTACAACCAGACTAAGGACACAAACTCTACTCCATGCCACATATTATCTATCCGCAGTGTCTGTGTGGCATAAATGACATAAAACGCCGCCGAACCCAGCGCCACGGCAGTGCAAATAACGAAATAAGCCTGTGTACAGGACAGGCCAAGCACGACTAGAAGATACTCTCTAAAAAGTTGTATAAATCTGAGGGACTGAGACAGAGATGGACAGAGAGAGAGAGGGAGATAAGGATATTAATGAAAGTATAGAGAGAGGAAGAGCGTAGATATATCGAGTATAGGACCAGTAGAGGGAGAAAGAAGGAAGGAAGGACAGAGAGAGAGAGAGAGGAGCAGAGAATCGAGGTACAGTAGATATAGAATAAAAGGATAGTAAAGAAAGCTAGGGAGTAGCAAGAGGCATAAGAATGCTCTATAAGAGGAATAGCAAAATGCAATAAAGTCCTTATTTTGTTAAACTAATCTACTTGGAGCATAAATGGTATCATTTCCATAGACACCCGCTTTGCACGCTCATCTCACATTTATGTAGAGGGTACTCCTGGTGTCCGGTTTGCGTTCGGCATGGATTCAGTCTGTCTGAGTTGTGCAACTGGGCGCGTTCTCCTGTCCCGAAGTCGTTTTGTACTTAGCACAAAAACCAAATGGTTCGATTTCGTTCAACAAGTTGACAACGGTCTATTTATAGTTGGGGTTAGCTGCAAGCCAGTTAAGAGCAGACACAGAGAACAACAACAGGAGGAAGAAGAAGCAGCAACACTAGTACTTGTCTGGCTTCGCTCGGGCAATGTGCTGAGCCGTTTCCTAACGTCCGGCGAACACTTTGGCCTGACCGTTGGGCAAATAAAAAACAAAAACAAGAAGCAATCATGAAATACGAGACTCGCGCCAGCAATAATAACAATAATAATAATAATATTGCATAATAAACAAAAGTGTTAAAGGGTTTCAACGACGCCTATCTTAGACCAGCACAAGCACATATCATGGTATATACATATGTACATATATACATATATGTATATTTATAGACCTATATGGTGCACCATAAATTGGTATAATCTAGGCAATCGTATCGAATAGTGGAAGCAAGTCACATGTCGCCCGAATTTGGGTTACCAAGTGGCCTTAGTGGGCGCACTTATCTGGGTGTTTGGGCCCTGATGAAGCAACCAAACCGTATCTTGGCCAAGCGCAAATCTGGTCAAATCAATTGATTTATGCCCTGCATTGCTGGGTATTTATATATATTGTATTTAGTCGAGAGTTCACGAATGGCTGGTGTTGCTACTTAGCAGACAATAAACTATTTACAATGCTCTAATCAGCGGCTAATCGCCAGGGTTTTATTTGTTTTTCAGAAAACATTTACGCCCGGGGTTGCCAGGCAATAAAATGAAACGAGCAATTCAAAACCGCAAATAAATAACTGTACATGCGGTAAACAGCAGGGTTGTCAAGTGCCACGAATTCATTAGCATTATACAAATATCTATGACAAATTGCCGACATCGTAAATCTTAACCAGTTTGTGGTGTTTGCCTTTATCTAGACTAGCCCAAATATATGGCTGGATTGGAGGATTCAAATGAGGGCTGGGATTTAGCCTTGTGATTTGAAGTGTGGCGGTCGAGAGGCGTTCATATAGAAATATATGACTTATGATATATATTAAAATAAGTATTGGTATTACTATTAGTATGATTATATGTTGTAGTACTTACTTGTAGTAATTAAATTATAACTGTATAAACAATATGCTTCATCTTTGATTGAGTTTATGTTTGGACATTCGACTAAGACAGAGATTCGACTAAGTTATACAGCGTTAGTTTTTTATAACATAAAATGAATTCTTAATAATAAATATGCATAAGCAGAATGATTTTCATTGAATTCTTCTAAAACTTTAACCATCTTAATTCAAAAACTTGCTTATAAAAAATTACTAAGCTTAAGCCCAGTCGAGAAAATCTTTATAGCAAGCCAAGCAGATCATATGCGCGCTTTGTCCATTATATCTGATATGTCTAAGCCGCATCATAACTCATCTTCTTCATTAAACAATTAAAAGCATTTTGTAGACCTTACAAATGTCGTTAATATCTTAATTGTGGGCTTATTATATATTATATATATATATGTACTGGGCTACTGTCCGATAAATCCACATTTCACAATGTTTTCTGTTTTTCAGGCAGCGCAAACATTTTGTAAGCCAAATAAATGTGTCGCAACAAAGTGTTGCAGTACTTTGCGTTTATAGCGGTCGTAAGCCCAAATGCCTATGCATTCATTTGTATTCGCATCCAGATCAGATTAGATAAGGCCAAAAATAAAGAATCAAGGTCGTAAGCTTTGCCGAGCGGGTGCAAAGAAAATGAACAAAAAAAAAAAAAAAAAAAAAAAAAAAAACAAATCAGTTAAGAGTACATAAAAAATACAATGTATATATAAATAATTTTAAATATATATAAAAAATTCCAATATATATGTTTAAGAATCTATACACAAAAGAAAAAAAAGATTAAATAAAAAACGGAAAATGCTTGCGAAAAATGGAGGAAATTTTTCAATAATTGTCATGTCGCACGGCTTGGGAAATTGACGAAGAGCTTAAGTACATATGATATTTTTGGAAAATAAAGAAAACGTTACATTTGTTTTTATTTTTTATTGCGATTGCTTTAAGCAGCTTTTGACGCAGTTGTTGTCGTTGTCGTTGTCGTTATTGTTCGCTTGACATTGGCTTTGGCTTTGGCATCGAGGTGGAGGAGTACGTTGACGTTTGACACCCACCCCCAGCGAAACGCATATATAACACCTCAATTGACGTCGTTGAAATAAACAAAAGCCAAGCATAGATAAAGATACAGATACAGATACAGATACTGTCAAAGATACAGATACGCACACATTGAACAGCTGCAGGCAGATACAAATAGAGATAGAGATAGGCATGGCACAACAAATGCGTTATAAATACACGTGACTAATTATAAACATAATATGATATTGTACACCCATACACATACACATACACACACATACACATGCATATGTATATATAATATATAACGCCATGCTGTGCACATTGAAAAGGGAAAGTGTATTTCCGTTCAAGGGGGCGTATACGCAATCTGTGTGAAGGCTACGCACGAATATTTGTGTGGGTGCGCGTCGGCTGATAAAAATACAACAAAAAATACAAAAAAAATACCATTTGCATAACAATTATTTGAGCACATAGATATCGCTCTATTAATAACTAATTTTATATAGTATTTATCTATTAATACATCTTCATTCTATTAAAAAATTCAAATGACTTTCTCTTTGCAGCTGCAACATGCCCACACCGCATACCAGATCCCAGGATGAGCTATCGACTGTCAATGCTCTCGTGTCCAAGAATCCGGACACGGATAAGCACCATGAAGAGGAGGAGGAGGAGATAGACACCGCAGCGGTCGTTGTGCCACCGGACAGCGGCTGGGCGTGGGTGGTCATGGTTGCCTCGTTCCTCTGCTGCACAGTGATCGACGGCATCGTCTTCTGCTCGGCCATCATCCAGGAGGAGCTGATGAAGGAGTTCCATGTGAGCAAGTTTTATGTGACCTTCGTCTCGTCGCTGCTCAGCGGCTGCTACCTGATGGCCGGACCCTTTGTCAGTGCGTTGGCCAATCGCTTTGGCTTCCGTCCGGTGACCATTGCCGGCGCCATCTTCGGCGCAATCTGCTTCGGCCTCTCGTACTTTGCCACCAGCGTGGAGTTCCTTTTTGTGGTCTACGGCATCCTGGGTGGCATTGGCTTCTGCATGGTCTACATTCCGGCTGTGGTCATCATTGGCTTTTACTTTGAGAAGTGGCGCGCCCTGGCCACAGGTGTGGCCCTCTGCGGCTCCGGTGTGGGCACCTTTGTCTTTGCTCCGCTCACGGATCTGTTGCTGGAGAAGACCGGCTGGCGCATGACGCTGGCTATCCAGGGCATCATGATCTTGTCGTGCGCAATCTTCGGCCTCGCCTTCCGTCCCATTCAGCCCATCACACTGGGCGTCACCGAGGACGGCACCGTTGTCGACGAGGAGAAGACCAAGCTGAATGGCCATGGCAGCACGGTGGCTCCCACCCCGCAGCTGCATCAGGCGGCGTTTACCAAGCCGCTGCCCGAGGGCCGCTTCGCCTACTCCATGCCCAACTCGGCACATAATACGTATATGGGCGCCTCGCAGCGCAATCATTATCCAACGGCTGCGGAGATCTTCAAGGGCATGAATCTGGAGCGTCGTCCGTCTGGCCAGGGCAGCAAGGGCACCGAGCTGAAGCAGTTGCGCAAGTCGCAGCCAACCACGCCCAACGGCGATCCACAACAGCTGACTTTCAATCTGCACAAGGAACTGACGACAGTCGGCGAGAACGAGGAGGAGGCGGAGAACGACAATCTGTTGGAGACGGAGGCCAAGCCCGTCAGCATTCAGGCACGCAGACACACCGTTTCCGGGCGTCGTCCACAGGATTTGGCCAAACGCGCCGCTGGCGGCCATCACGATCAGAACGGCCATCATCACGGCCAGTCGCAGTCCTCGTCCCGTCCCATGTACAGAGATGATATCTTCTTCACCGGCTCGCTGACCCGCATCCCGCAGTATCAGTCGCAGACCTCGTTGGCCTACCACATGTCCGTCACGCGTCTGCCCACCAAGCAGGACATGCTGGAGGACAGACAGAAGGGCTGCCGCATCTGCCCGGAGGCAGTGCGTCGCACACTCTCAACGATGTTGGACACCAGCCTGCTCAAGTCGCCGGCATTCATGTGCCTGGCCGTCAGCGGTTTCCTGACCATGATGGGCTTCTTTGTGCCCTTCTCCTTCCTGACGGATCGCGCCGTTGACGCTGGCATGGCCAAGGAGTCGGCTGTATCCGTCATCTCCGGCATTGGCATGATCAACACCTTCGCTAGGATCGTTTGCGGCTCGATGAGCTCCTTCCCCAGCGTCAAGCCACTGTGGCTCAACAATGTGGCACTCACCGCCGGCGGCTTGGCCACCATCTTCAGCGGCGTGGTCATCAATGCCTCCACCCAGTGGGCCTTCGCTGTGCTCTTCGGCATCTGCATCGCCTGCTTCTCGGCGCTGCGATCGCTCATCGCCGTCGAGCTGATTGGCCTGGAGAAACTGACGAATGCCTTTGGCTTCCTGATGCTGTTCCAGGGCCTGGCTGCCACCATAGGCAGTCCCATAGCAGGTAAGAGAGGAGGAGTCTTGAATGGGAGTGGATTTGATTTGATTTGATTTGTTTCTCTGCTCCAACAGGTGCCTTGTATGCAGCTACGGAGAGCTACAATGTGGCCTTCTACTTTGCTGGTGGCCTAATCCTGCTATCCGCCTTCCTCTGCTATCCGCTGTCCTGGATATCCAGCTGGGAGCAGAAACGCAATGCCAAGAACGAGTCACTATCTCCAGCAGCCTAGAGAGACGAAGACAATGGAATGCCCAAACATTAATTGTCTATTGATAGCGCCCCATTTGTACCATTAAGTGGTTAGTTTAACACTAATTGCCAATCACTCGATGTTGTTGAAAGATATTGAAAGCAGCGACAGCAACAGTAACTGAAAAAGCAACTGAATTAGTAACTGGAAAAAGCAGTGAGAGCAGCAGCAACAGCAGCAGCCGCAGCAGCAGCAGCAGCAGCAAATCGAACGAATTGCTCTAGCTGCTCAATGCCTGCTAGAAGCATGTACTTGATATGTCGTCGTATTTGTCTAGATCTAGATTAAGTAGCCTTACTCTAAGTGTAATGTTTGTGCCTTTTGCTTTATCGAGTGCCTCGCCTCAATTTAAACATACACATACACACACATATATATATACACATACATTAAGCTTTAGTATTGATTGATCAATTTGTAACTAAAAAATTTATAGATATATATATATATATATTCAATCGTAAGTGTGAGAACGACGTAGAAGCAAATCAAGATAATAATGATGTTGATCAAGATGATGATGATGATGTTGATACCTACATATATCATATTTAGCAGCTGAGCTTATGGCTGGGCCACAAATCGACTGCCAAGTTAAGAGAGATGAGAGGACGACGTTGCATTTGTTTAGTTTAAGATGTTCAACTAACTCTATTCGGTAGCTATTGCTCCCCCGCCCCGCCCCCCCAGACTTGTTACATAGTTTGTACATATGTAAGTTTCTAGTTATAAGACAAGCAAACACAAACACAACACACACACACATACACACAAACACAACTAACTGCTCTTGATTATTGTTGTTGTTGCAGTTGGGTCATTGCACCCAACTATCCAAGCCGTACTCCACGATCCGTTGTCAACGCTTCGCCTTAGCTGATTATAAAAGCAAACAGAACGTTGGCCCTTCACAGACACACACACACATAGATATAGACAAATAGTTATATACATACTCATGTTTATCAACTGATACTGTGTAGAAAGCCTAAATAACATCATATCTATAAAGAACAATGAACAGCGAGCAGACAAACAACAGAGCATACCAACTATACGCGTAGAGCTATGTACACTATTTAGTTTATTTAAAAGTTATATACATTTTACAACAAAAATGAAACAACATTTAATCAATTTACAAAACGAAAATATTATGTGTTTTTATTATTTTATTATTAAATATACAAAATTTGATCAAAATTACTTTAAAGCGTTTTAATTGTTTTCAGATCTGCTAACAAATTTCTTGAACTGAGAGAACTGTTGGAAAATGTTTAGATAAATTGACGATAGCAATAAAATATAAGACTAGACTTAGTGTCTGGTTTTCTGGTCATGGAATATTCACTTCTATATATGGTATATTCCAAGGGAACTTCTTTACACATAAGTAGTCCAAAATCAAACTGAAACTCTTTAGACTTGCATGTCTCTAATTTTTGCTGTTCATATATTAAATATTATCTAAAATATTGATGATATTACGAATTCCCGACAAAAAAGCATTCGTAAATAATTCTCTTGTCTCTCTTTAGAGAATTATTTTTCCATAACAATGAAAATCCATCTCAAATACAAGCTAACAATGTTTATTTTCTTTTATTACTTTCGGCTGCACAAAGTAAGCGTATTAACTAAACAGTAAGGAAAAATCATTATGAACAATTCGCGACTGTGATTATAACCGTTCCGTATAATATTGTTCTGTTTTTGAGCTTAAATTAATACATTAAATAGATAACGCAGTTGTGTCTTTGGTCATGGCACACCCTAATATCCTATTTTTCCTGATTCAATGAATTAATGAACTCCTCCAACTTCTCCTGAATCTGTCGTACTTTAACTGAAATATTATTGAGATTAGTGGCTGACTCAAGAGCTCTGGGAACATGCACTTACTTAGCTCCTCGGCTAGCTGGACACGCTTGCCTGTAAGCAGTTGCGCTTTCCGCTCCTCGTCTTCACTAAACTCATCCAGCACTGCCTTGATCTCTTTGTCCAGGCGCCGCGCCTCTCGATTGATAACCTGCTGCCTGAGCGCATTGCCGGTCACCTTGATAACCTGTTGTATGCGCCAGAAGAGAACTACGTCGCTGCAGCTCACCTGAAAGTGAAAGCTCAAATATTTATTTGAGTTTGGAAAGAATTTCGTGGCACTCATACCTCGCACTCAGAGCCTTGTTGCGTGTATAAATAGTAAGCTTTACGGCAGTCCTTCGCCCGCTGCAGGGCCTGCTGCAGGAAGTGTCTACAATGGATCTAGGTTAGTTGACAACAAAATAAAGAAAGGTATGCTACCCACTTTCTGTAGACTGGGAACCATGTCTGTCTGATGTAGTCCGTGTCCACTTCGACATTATCGCGCTGCAGATTCTTGCGCACTGTCGTCAGTTCGTCGTAGCTTAGGCTGGGTAGGTGTTTCTATAATGCACGAATTTCACATTGCATAAAGCTTCAACTTACTTGGCCATACGCACCGAATCATTCTTTAATATCTTGTCCAGTTCACCCTTGACGCTGCGACGCTTCTGCTGATCCGCCGTCAGGGACTTCCATTGCGCAAAACGCGTCCACGGTCCAGGCCCAAACATTTGGGCCAAGGTTTCCTCGGTTTGCATGAGCTTAGCATTGACCGAATTCTCTAGGAATTTAACCGCCTGATCCCATTCCGTTTTGTCGTGCACAAACCGATCCTCTAATGTGTTCAACTGTATCACTCGGAGCATGTCAATTGCTTTGTCCTCCCAGCTATGCCGGCGTATGGCTTCATCGACAACAGCCGCCTTTAGCTGATCGAAGACATCATCGTGATCGTGCGCCTTCTTTGCCCGCTCCATCAACGATATGAACTCCTGCTGCAGCGCCTCCCAGCCTGCCTCCACAGATTTCGCTGGCAATGCCTGCTCCGCCCATTGCCTCAGCTTGATATCCACCATCGTGTTAAAGGAATCTAAAAGAGCAGAATTACAAAGAATGAGTCTCTCATGCAATATTTGGTTCGAACACAGAATTGATGCTAAATATGATCAACAATACGACGACAAATCACATTTAATTGAAACTCGGCCAATGCACTTGAAAATTTAGCAATTCAATTTAAATTCGTCTAATTAGGAAGTTTGTTTTCAGTGTGTTCATTGATCAAATTAACGTTGCTTTAATTGAAATATCGGGTTATACTTGTTCTTTGGCACGAATTTCGTAAATCTGTAAATCACACTTTCCGGCAAGACAAGTACACGCCTCATTCGCACATCAATTCGAAAAGTATAAACATAAAACATGCTGAATCAGATTTGTTTTTGGGATTCTTCCGAATTGAATGGCGCTAATGAAAGTCGAGCATTGGGGAGTTCACAAGCATTACATTTTTAAGAAATGACTCAGCGTAAAGAGAATGCGGCACTGTCGAAACAGGTTTCCGCTCGCGTGTGACTCCCATCTCATTATGGGTGATCCGTAATACTTAAGCTGACGGAACACTTTTAATTTTCTTCCAAAACAGTTGGCTGCTTAACACACAAAGACACAGACACACATATATGGCAGATGGACTTCGGGCACTCGAATCGAAGCAGTAGGCGTGGCTTACAACTCTAAATACTTATTAACTACAGAATATTACTTTGAGAACCTGACTGTGCAGCGGGTAGGTAAATATTTTCGAACACGTAATTCGAAAGTTTCTCCCACAGCTTGGTGGTGAGGGCGTCATCCCACTTCTTGGCTGAGATCTGTGACAGTGTGACAACTTCATCTAGTATTTCGCCCTTGGCCTTATCGAATAGCTCATCACGTCCAGATTCTCGCAGTCTATAATCAATAATTAATAAATATATTCAGTTTACAATATATGTTTGAATCATTCATATATACCTGGGGAAGTTGTTTTTCCATTCGGTTTCCAGATTAAATCTGGTTGCCTTAAATGCATCGGCCTGCTGCTCTATAGTCTCGCGAACCATCTTCCAGAAACGATCCGAAACAGCTAAGCTCAGATTTCGACTCGTCACTTGGTGTGGCATGATAACCCCGCGTCGACTGCAAAGATCGTAGAGATATAGTAACGAATAGTTGTGTACTGGAAATGCGTGCTCTACTTACTGAAACAGCTTGGAATTCTTGAAGAAGTCCTCTTCGTATTGTCTTATGGCTTCTATGCTGTCGTCCTTTCGTCCTCGGCCGGTAACAACTGCATAGTAGCCAAGCGCCTTCATGGGAAACAGTTTTCCAGATAGTATTTTTCTTATCCTCTCAGGATCAGCCAATTCCTCGGCCAAATCCACCTTGGTAAGTACAAAGATTGTACGACGACCCAGGGGATCGCATTGCATGACAAGATCAGTGACGTTGCTGCGTTCCGCATCTACAGAGCCATCCTGTATGCAAAGTATAATCGCATTCGGGTTGCTCATATAATGCTTGGTCATCTGGTGAATGGAGTCTTTCGTATCCGACGCCATATCAACGGTCATGGTCTGCAAACCAAACATGGTTAAACTTTGATTTTCATAAGTACCATAAAATACTTACCGAAATGATGCCCGGTAAATCAACCAGTACCATGCGCTGAAGTCCTGGACCCTTGACCGTCATGGATATCACCTCATTGCTCACCGTCTTGCCGCCCCGCACAGAAGCACGCATTCGGAACTCCACTTCGCGTCGCAAATCAGCCAGATCCGACTCTTTCGTCAGATCGTACTCACGATCCGTGTCACGAAACTGGGCTACATGATAGGGTCCCTCGGCCAGAGTTACTTTGACAGGAGCACGAGTCATCATTTCACCGCTGCCACGAGGAAAGATTCGCGCCTTTGCTATAGACTCCAGCACGGATGTTTTGCCGCTGCTCTGATCGCCGACAACAACGACGCGCGGCAAATGATCGGCCATGGTGTAGCCCGTATCATAGCCGGACAGTTCGTCCAGAACTTCGGAGTACATGTCAATTAGGGATTTCTTAATTCGCTTCGCCGTCGTCTTTTTGTTCGTCTTCATTATAAGATATTGCTGACGGAGCTCACGATTCTCCTTCTCCATCTTCTCCAGCTCTTTCTGATATTTGATCTGTACATTCATGATTTCAGTTTGCAGCGTTTCCACTTGACTTTGCAGTTTTTCTGTAATATAAACAAATGGCCAAATAAATACAAATTATTCAATTCGACAAGACTTTTTAGCTAACCATATTTCTTACGACTTTCATCCACAGGAATTCCCAGCGCCGCGACCGTCGCCTTTGACTTAATATCCTCCTTGGCTGAAAGAGAGTTTGAATAGAAAATTTATTTTTATATGAACTGTTAGAAGGTTGGGCGAACATAAATTCTCTCACTTTAAACGCATAATGTTCGTACCAAATTGATTTGAAATGTGTAACCTACTTTCGACAATTTGATTTCCTTGATAGTCGGCCGCTTCGAGGGCGTCGTCCAGGCGATTATCGAACCATGAGCGCCATTCCGACAATTTATCTTCGCCAAGCTGCTTGAGCCTCGGATCTACAATCAAACCCCAATTTTAGCGAAGAGTATTTTGTGTATACAAATGTAAAAATCAAACGGCTAACAAGCAGGCGAGTGAAAATAAATGGTTAAAAGAAAACAAGATATGCGAATTAAGGTGCATAGTTAGAAACTCAGTTCATCCGTGACCCCCAATTTAATTAGCTAACTGTTATGGCATTTTAAAGTGAGAGAGTGGACGTAGACAATTAATCCGGTCTTATGGATAGACTCACCGATGTCAATGGCATTCTTCACCACGCTGCCTACTTCAATGAGATTCCTTGAGAACTGACTCCATCTCTCACTCTGAGGCAGTGCATCCTCTAGCCATTTCATATCAGGCAGACCCTCCTTCCAATCCTCGTATTTCTGCACGTGCATAGTTGCAATTCGCACATTATATAACAGTAATGGGAGACTTGCGATTTATTTGTACTCACTTTGCTCAATGAAACGCCACCGCCAATAGCGCCGCCCAGAACTAGGTAACGCAGCTTGAGCGCACCTTTGAGTATCCTCACCACAAACATGCCATAACCTCGCGAATGCGGCGGTATTGTCCAGCCTCTCGCTTGGTTGCCCGCTAACAGA